TTCCATTGTAATCTGAGAAAATGCTTAGTATAACTTCAATTTTCTTGAATTTGTAGAGCAAGCATGTCAAACTCACAACCCACGAGCCACATGTAGACCACAATGAATATTTTTGCTACCCAGCCAATATAATGGTATAAGAAATGTCTTTTACAACTTAATTTTTATAATATCCTGTTATACATAATCCTATATAATAAAGAATGAATATGCAAATTGACCATCACTACACACAAGAAGCCCACCACTATGTGGTCAAAGATGGCCACCATAAGATGGCCAGTAGGGGAGGGCAGTTGGAGGCAACCAGGCCTGCAGGGGAGGAAATTAGGGGCAACCAGGTTGGCAGGGAAGGGCACTTAGGGGCATTCAGGCTGGCAGGGGAATAGGTAGGCAATAATCAGGCTGGCAGGGGAGTAGTTAGGGGTAATCAGGCTGGCAGGCAGAAGTATTTAAGGGTAATCAGGAAGGCAGGCAGGCAAGCAGTTGGGAGCCAGCAGTCCAGGATTGTGAAGAGATCCCAGATTAGAGAGGGTGCAGACTCGGCTGAGGGACATACACCACCACCATCATGATCCCCCATGCACAAATTTCATGCACTGGGCTTCTAGTCTATATAATAAAAGCCCAAGCGACTGTTTCTGAGGATAGACCAGAATGACCACCAGGGGGCAGACGCTCAATCCAGGAGCTGCCCCCTTGTGGTCAGAGCACTCCAATTATTAGGGTGTGCCACTCAGCCAGAAGCTGGGCTCATGGCTAATGAGTGCAGTGGTAAGGAGCATCGAGCAGGCAGGTGTTAAGGAACGAGGGGTCCTGGCCTGTGAGAGAGATGTCTGCCTGCTGGGGAGTGGGCTTAAGCCAGTAGGCGGACATCCCCCGAGGGGTCCCAGACTGTGAGGGCACAGGCCGGGCTGAGGGACGCACCCCTGGGCACAAATGTTGTGTACCGGGTCTCTAGTTATTAATAATGAACTATAACATTTGCTAATAACATTGCTGTAATTGTGTTGCATACATTTCCCTTATGTGCCAGTGCACCATTTCACTCCTCCAATACTAGCAGTGAATATTTTAGCAGCCGATTGCCACATCATTAGTCTTGGACTGACTTGTTTGATGTGATTAACAGGAAATATTTTGCTTTCGGAGAACAAGAAAAATAGGTTTATTTGTGTTACGCTTATTGTGGAGTTATTCAATGTCTCATAAGTTAGTGTTCAAGAAAAAGATAAGTTTTTAAAAAAATGTTCTGTTATTTTATGTTAACAATTACTCATTTCAGCCCTTTATTTCAGCATGTCTCTATCAAAATAAACCTACATTTCTATGAAAATTGAAGCTTTTGTTTTTTTTTTCTGGCCCACATAAACTTAAAACTTGTTTATTTGTCTCGTGTCAATCTTTGAGTTTGATATGCTTATTGTGGAGACTTATTGTATTCTAATATGTGGTCTATCTTTGAGAATGACTCACGTGCAGAATATACAGCTTTGAGGTAGTCTATAAATGTCAATTAAATACATCTGAACCAATGTGTAACTTGGAGTCAGTGTTTCTTTGTTAATTTATTGTCTGTAACATATATCCAGTGAAGTCAGCAGGGTGATGAAGTTTCTCACTATGACTGTATTATTGTCGATCTCTCCCTTAGAGTCCACTAAAAGTTTTTTTTAATATATATTTAGGTGTTCTTATGTTGGGTGCACATATGTTTACCAGGATTATATCCTCTGTTGGACCAAACTCTTTAGTATTATGTAGTAACGTTTGTTGTCTCTTGTGATTGCATTATTTTGAAGTGTATTTTACCAGATATAAGTATTGCTACCCTAACTTATTTTTGTTTGTTTTTCTTTTCTTGTTTCTATTTATTTGGGAAATTTTTTTTTCATTCTCCTCTCATCCTGTGTGAGTCTTATTTAGTCTTCTCGTCTGGGAAGCTCTTTATTCAACCATCAATTTTAATGATAGTATTGCTGGGTATATTTATCTTGGTTTTAGATCCTTGCTATTCATTACCTTGAATATTTCATGCCATTCCCTGCTGGCTTGTAGAATTTCTGGCAAGAAATTAGCTGACAACCTTATGGGAGCTCCTTTGTAGATAACAAATTGCTTCTCTTTTGCTGCCTTTAAGGTTCTGTCCTTATCTTTAACTTTTGGCATTTTAATTATGAAGTGACTGGACGTGGGTCCATTTGGGTTCTTCTTACTTGAAACTCTCTGTAACTCCTTAACTGGTGTGACTTTATCCTTCATCAGGTTAGGGAAATTTTGTCATTATTTCTTCAAACAAGTTTTCTAACCCTTGCTCACTTCTTCTGGCACACCTATTATGCAAATATTTTTACATTTCATATTGTACCACAGCTACCATAATCTGTCCTCTTTTCTAATTGTTTTTTTTCTTTTTGGTTCTCTGATTGAGTGATTTTTTCCCCCTACCTTGTCTTCTAATTCACTGATCAGATCCTCAACTTCCTCTAATCTGCTGTGTATTCTTTCCACTTAGTTCTTTATTTGTGCTACTAAGGGCCTGGTGTGTGTGTGTGGAGGTGTCCCTCAGCCCAGCCTACACCCTCTCCAATCTGGGACTCCTCAGGGGATGTCTGACTGCCAGTATAGGCCCAATCCCACATCAGGCCTACACTGGCAGTTGGACATCCCTCTCTCAATTCGGGACTGCTGGTTCCCAACTGCTCATCTGCCTGCCAGCCTGATCGCTGCTAACTGCCTCTACCTTGGCCCTCACCACCGTGGCTTTGTCCGGAAGGAAGTTGGACATCCAGAAGCTGGCCTATTGACCCTTCTAATTAGCATATTACCCTTTTATTAGTATTGATAGATATTGATAGCATTTTTCTCAGTTACTATATCTTTTCTTCTGCTTTTGAGTATATTTGCCATCATTCTTTTTTTCTTTTTTTTAATATATTTTAATTTTTTACAGAGAGGAAGGGAGAGAGAGAGCTTGAAACGTCCATGAGAGAGAAACATCGACCACTGCCTCTTGCAGACTCCCTACCGGGGATGTGCCCGCAACCAATGCACATGCCCTTGACCGGAATCGAACCTGGGACCTTTCAGTCCACAGACCGACGCTCTACCACTGAGCCAAACCGGTTTTGGCTATTTGCCATGATTCTGAACTCTATTTATGTCGTTCATTATAATTCACAAATGAGTGAAATCAAATTATATTTGTCTTTTTCTGACTGACTTATTTTGCTTAGCATAATGTTCTCCAGCTCCATCCATGTTGTAAATGGTAGGAGTTTCTTCCTTTTTACAGTAGCATAGTATTCCATTGTGTAGATGTACCATAGTTTTCTAATCCACTCATCTGCTGATTGGCACTTAGGCTGTTTCCAAATGTTAGCTATGGTAAATTGTGCTGCTATGAACATAGGGGTGCATATATTCTTTGTGATTGGTGTTCCTAGTTTCTTGGGATATATTCCTAGAAGTGGGATCACTGAGTCACATGGAAGTTCCATTTTTAGTTTTTTGAGGAAACTTCATACTGTTCTCCACAGTGTCTGTGCATTCCCACCAGCAGTGCCCAAGGGTTCCTTTTTCTCCGCATCCTCTCCAGCACTTGTCGTTTGTTGATGATAGCCATTCTGACAGGTGTGAGATGGTACCTTGTTGTTTTGATTTGTATCTCTTGGATAATTAGTGACTTTGAGCATGTTTTCCTATGTCTCTTGGCCTTCCTTATATCCTCTTTCAAAAAAGTATCTATTTAGGTTTATTGCTCATTTTTTTTATTGGATTGTTTATCTTCCCTGTAAATTTTGGAGATTAAACCCTTATCAGAAACATCATTGGCAAATATGTTTTCCCATACAGTGGGCTTTCTTGTTGTTTTGTTGATGGTTTCTTTTGCTGTGCAGAAGTTTTTTATTTTCATGTAGTCCCATTTGTTTTGTTTTTTTCTTTGTTTTTTTTTTTAATGCGGGGGGGAGGGGACGTGAGGGGGCGTGAGGAACGTGAGGGGTCATGGGGGAGGAGGGGGACGTGAGGGGGCGTCTTGTTTATTTCTTGTTTAGTTTCTATTGCCATACAAGCTATATCGGTGAAAATGTTGCTTTGGCTTATGTCTTGAGATTTTGATGCCTGTGGATTCCTCTAATATTTTTCTGGTTTCCCATTTTACGTTTAAGTGCTTTATCCATGTTGAGTTTATTTTTGTGTATGGATTAAATTGGTGGTTTAGTTTCATTTTTTGATATGTATCTGCTCATTTTTCCCAACACCATGTATTGAAGAGACTGTCTTGACTCCATTGTTTGCTCCTGCCTCTTTTGTCAAATATTAATTGGGCATAGTGTTTTGGGTCAATTTCTGGGTTCTCTGTTCTATTCCATTGATCTAAATGTCTGTACTTGTGCCAGTACCAGGCAGTTTTGAGAACAGTGGCTTTGAAATAGAGCTTGATATCAGGTATTGAGACCCCTTTTACTTTGTTCTTCTTTCCTAAGATTGTTGCAGCTATTTGGGGTCTTTTTTTATTCCATATGAATTTTTGGAGAATTTGTTCTAGGTCTGAAATATTCTGTTGGTATTTTAATGGGAAGTGCATTGAATCTATAGATTGCTTTGGGTAGTATGGACATTTTGATGATTTTGATTCTGCCAATCCATGAACATGGTATGTTTTTCCATCTGTTTATATGTCTTTCTCTCTATCTCTTTTCAACAGCCTTTAATTTTCTGAGTAGAGATCTTTTACCTCCTTAGTTAAGTTTATTCCTAGATATCTTAATTTTCTGTGTGCAATGGTAAGTGGGGTTGTTTTTTTAATCTCTTTTTGTAAGTTCACTATTGGTGTATAAAAATGCCATGGATTTCTTGGCATTAATTTTGTATCCTGCTACATTGCCAAATTCATTTATTAAGTCTAATAGTTTTCTTATGGAGTGTTTAGGGTTTTCTATTTATAGTAAGAATCATGTCATCTGGGAATAATGACAATTTTACTTTTTCTTTTCCAGTTTGGATGCCATTTAAATCTTCTTGTCTGATCCTGTGCCTAGCATTTCCAGTACTATTTTGAACAAGAGTGGTGAGAATGGTCATCCCTGTCTTGTTCCTGTTCTTAGGGGAAATGGTTTTAGTTTTTGCCCATTGAATATGATGTTGGCTGTAGGTTTGTCATATAAGGGTTTTATTATGTTGAGGTATAATCCTTCTATTTCCACTTTGCTGAGCATTTTTATCAGAAAAGGGTGTTGGACTTTTTCAAATGCTTTTTTTGCATCACTTGATTTGATTGTGATTTTTGATTATGTGATTTGCTTATGTGATGTATCATGTTTGTTTATTTTTAAAAAATATATTTTGATTTTTTTTTTTTTTTTTTTTTTTTTTTTTACCTAGAGGAAGGGAGAGGGATAGAGTTAGAAACATTAGTGAGAAACATTGATTAGTTGCCTCCTATATGCCCCCTTCTGGTGTTATGCCTGCAACTAAGGTACATTCCACTGACTGTAATTGAACCTGGGACCTTTGAGTCCACAGGCACTCTATCCACTGAGCCACACCGGTCAGGGCAGTGTATCGCGTTTATTGATTTGTGGATATTATACCAGACTTGCATCCTTGGAATAAATCCCACTTGGTAATGGTGTATGATTTTTTTTTTTAATATATTTTATTGATTTTGTGCAGAGAGGAAGAGAGAGGGATAGAGAGTTAGAAACATCGATGAGAGAGAATCATCGATCAGCTGCCTCTTGCACACCCCCTACTGGGGATGTGCCTGCAACCGAGGTACATGCCCTTGACCGGAATCGAACTCGGGACCTTTCAGTCCACAAGCCGACGCTCTATCCACTGAGCCAAACCGGTCTCAGCTGTATGATCTTTTTAATATAATGCTCAATTGGTTTGCCAGAATTTTTGAGAATTTTAGCATGTATGTTTATCAGGGATGTTAGCCTGTAATTTTCTTTCTTTGTGTTGTCTTTATCTTGTTTTGGGATTAGGGTAATGTTGGCTTCATAGAAAGAGCTCAGAAGTGTGCCTTCCTCTTGAATTTTTTTGGAATAGTCTTAGAAGGATTGATTTTAATTCTTCTTTGAATATTCGGTAAAACTTGCCTATGATGCCATCTGATCTAGGGCTTTTATTTGCTGGAAGCTTTTTGATTACTGTTTCAATTTCATCAGTAATTATTGACTTTTTTTAGGTCTTTTTATTCTTCCTCATTGAGTTTTGGAATCTTGTATTTTTCTAGGAATGTGTCCATTTTAGTTTGTTGGAGTAGAGGTGTTTGTAGTATTTTTTTGCAATCCTTTGTATCTATGTGGTCAGTTGTTACTTAATCTCTTTCATTTCTGATTTTGTTTAGTTGGGTCCTCTCTCTTTGTTTCTTGGTGGTCCTGGCTAGCGGTTCATCTATCTTTTTTATCCTTTCAAAGAACCAGCTCTTGGTTTCAGTGATCCTTTGTTTGTTTGTTTGTTTGTTTTGTCTCTGTCATTAATTTCTGCTCTGATGTTATCTCCTTTCTTCTGATTACTGTGGGCTTTTCTTGTTGCTCTCTTTCTAATTCTTGAAGTTGTAAGGTTAGATAGTTTATTACCATTTTTTTCTTATTTTTTGAGGTAGGCCTGTAGAGCTATGAACTTCCCTCTCAGGACTGCTTACATTGTATCCCATAGATTTTGAATTGTGTTTTCATTGTCATTTGTTTCCAGGATGCTTTTTATTTCTTCTTTGATCTCTTTGATAACCCAATCATTGTTTAATAGCATGCTATTTAGCCTCCAAGCGTTTGATTTTTTTCATTGTAACTGATTTCTAGTCTTATGCCACTGTGAGCTGAGAAGATGCTTGTCATGATTTCTATCTTCTTGAATTTGAAGAGACTTTAGCCTGTGTCCTACCTAATATGCAGTCTATCTTTGCAAATGTCCCGTATGCACTTGAGAAGAATATACATTTTGTATCTTTGGGGTGAAGTGTTCTGAAGATGTCAATTAAGTTCATCTAATCTAGTGAGTCATTTTGGAATGCTGTTTCTTTGGTGATTCTTTGTAACTCACCAAGGTGTCAAGATGTAGTTAGCTTGGTGGGAAACATCGTGGATCCTGCTGAGGGGACTGTGCACCCTTAGTTGGAGAGGCACATGCCCAGTGGCAGCACACAGAGGGGCCCAGGAGCTGTCTGTAAGGGATGTGTGATGCTGGGGCCCACATGCTGGTTCGGAGCAATTGCCACTAGTCCCATAGAGGATGAAGTCCCAGTTTTTGCTTGGGGAGATGTGCGCCCTGGTTGGATACACACACCCAATAGCTGCTTACGGTGGTGCCAGGATCCATCTGCTGGAGCAGGGGGCCCTTGTGCTGGAGCAGTGCTACTGTGGAGACTGGATGCCAGCGGCCGGGTTTGTGCCTTGTGGTGGTTCAGAGAAGCACCTAGAGGCGACTGCAATGACCGGAGGTCGGCAGCTGAGGAGGGAGAAGTTAAAGTTTCTGCTGCCGGTGCCTTAACCCTTGGTTGGATGTGAGTGCTCCTAGTGGCAGCTCACAGAGGGACCTAGGAGTCACCTACTGGGACAGTAAGCCTCAGGGGACCTGTGTGCTTCAGTGTCTGTGGGTAGGCAGCCAGGAATGGGGAAGTCCAAATTTTTACTGTTGGGGTCGTGTGTCCTTGTTTGGATACAAGTGTGCCCAGCCGGGGCTCAAGGAAGCACCCATGAGCCACCTGTAGGAGTAGCCAGCTGTCAGGGCCAGCCTGACAGGTGAACTGGACTGATGTAGGGTGGTGGGAATTGAGAAGAAAAAGAAAGGCAGGAAAGGGGATCGAGAGGACTGTAAGCCATCGACAGACTGCAGCAACTTTATTAACTGTGTAATGCCTTTTATACACAAACACTGAATGAGAGGTCAGTTAAGAGGAATGTACTCTCTGTTTCTCCCAATCTTGGAGATAAAGCAGAAAGCCAAATTCTTGGTAAATATTTACAGACTTCTGATAAGCTGTGAAAGGTTTCTCTCATTCTGCTGTCAATAGGAAAGTGCCATCAAAACAAATCAGGGGACACTGTGGGCAAGGGACTGAATCTTACCAGTCCCTTCGGGTGCAAGGACTCTGTCAGCTTATACCCGGTCTCCAATAGCCAGCTCAGTAGGCCTGCATGCTGGAAAGGCGCAACTTCAGTGACCAGAGGTCAGTAGCCAGGGAGGGGGGTGTCCAGTTGTTGCTGCCTTGCGCCCTTGGTTGAAATCATGTGTGCCCAGCGGGGGCTCACACAGGCACCCAAGAGCCGCCTTTGCGGCTTTGGGCTCAGGAGGCCTGTGCTCTGGAAAAGTGTGATTGTGGTTTCCAGAGATCAACAGCTGTGAGTGCAAAGACTCAGCTTTTGCTGCCGGAGTCTTGAGTCTTTGGTTGGATTTATCCGCGCCTAGTTGCAGCTGGCATAGATACCCCAGGGCTGTTTGCCAGGGCGGTTTACTCAGAGTGGCCCTGGCTCTGAAGCCATGCGACTGAGGTGTCTGTGTGCAGGAATCCAGGAAGGGGAAATTCAGAATATCTACTGCTGGGGCACAGTATCCTTGTATGGATAAGAGTGCACCCAGCAGGGGCTCTCAGAGGCACACCCTTTGCGGTCCTGTGGTCAGGAAGCCTGTGCACTGGAAAAGCACAACTGTTTTGTCCAGAGGTCGGCAGCCATGGAGTAGGAAGACTGTTTTTGCTGCTCCATCCTTGGTTGGATTTGCATGTGCTCAGTGGCAGCTCACAGAGGTACCCCAGGGCTGTTTGCCAGGGTGGTCCCCCCAGAGTGGCCCTTGGGCTGAAGCCACGTGACTGGGGTGTCTGTAAGCAGGTATCCAGGAAGAGGGAATTCAGAATTTCTTTAAAAATTTAAAAATATATATACTTTATTGATTTTTTTACAGAGGGGAAGAGAGAGGGATAGTTAGAAACATTGATGAGAGAGAAGTTAGAAACTAATCAGCTGCCTCTTGCACACCTCCTATTGGGGATGTGCCCACAACCAAGTTACATTCCCCTGATGGGAATCGAACCCAGGACTGAGAACCCAGGACCTTTCAGTCCACAGACTGATGCTTCATCCACTGAGCCAGACCCGCCAGGGTGGAATTCAGAATTTTTACTGCTGAGGCAGTGCCACCCTTGTTTGTATAAGAGCGTACCCAATGGGGGCTCACAGCGACACCCAGGAACTGCCTGTGGAGTGGTGGGTTCTGGAGGCCTATGGGCTTGAAAAGCATGATTGTGGCATCCGGCAGTTTGCAGCTGGGGAGGGGGGAAGTCGCACTTACCTGCTGGGGGAGCTGTGCACCCTTGGAGGTGAAGGTCCTTAGGGTCTGCAGGTCTGTGGATGGGGCAGCAGGATTTTGGCTGGAGTGGCTGAAGAGTCTGGGCAGTGTCCAAGGCCTGGCTCATTGATGGAGTTGCAGTCAGGTGGGACATGGATGTCTGGAAACAGTCCACCATAAGTCTGGGGCTGGTGCCATCTGCTGGGGTGTTCTCTACAACAGGGCTTATCCTCCAGTAGGCTAGACTGGCTTCTTCTCCAGATGAGCTCAGTGCTGCATTCCTAGAAACTATTTCATGTGGTTTGTTATATTTCTTATCTCCTTTTTATTCTGATCTTTCATTTGGGGCTTTTTTCTTTTTTTTTTGTCTCCTTATTTTAGCCGTCTGTTTTGATTTGTGTCTGTGGATTAGGTAAATCTGCTACGCCTTCCAATCTAGTGCAGGACAGTGTCAGATGTTATTTGTGACTCGCCCTGAATACCCTGTTTTGAGCTATAAGTGATTTCCAGCTTGTGACTCCCTCTGCAGGAGCTGGATGCCTTTGGGAAGCATCAAATTGTGCACCAGTGTCTGCTGTGCCTAGCCCCAGGCCTGGGATTAGATTAGTCAAAGATTCAAAGTCTCCAGAGACCCCCTCTGCCTGTAGTGCCATTCACTGTGAGACTGGATTAACCTCGGGTTGTTGACCACAAGGTGGGGCAAAAGGTGTTTTAATTGGGAGAGGCAACTGCTGTTTCTCTATCCCCTCCTCCCCCCCAAGCAAATCACCTAGATAG